TTTTAAAATGCTATGGAGGACATCTTTTGAAATACCAAACATCATTTTCCCCTCCCAAACCAAGTGAGTGCTGTCACTTCAAGTTTTATGGGGGGGGGGGGAGTTCAGTGCAGACTGCAGGATAAAAAATGCCTTCAAAATTATTTTTGTTGGAGTTATTCCTTATTTAAGACACAATTAGCAATAGCATTTATGTGTCTATAGTGCTTCATAGTGAACTCAGCACTCTCTAAGTGGTTTCCAGTCTGTAAGCCAATTGCTTTCAACAAGCTGGGTACTCATTTTACCATCTTACAAAAGGATAGAAGGCTGAAGGGCCTTTACAGACTGACAGACATAGTGCAAATGCCAAGCTGGAGCCCTCTGGGATCAAACTTACAACCTTGTGGCCATAGTACCAGTATTTAACTACTGCACCACCAGTGCTCTCTTTTATAATTAGAATAGCTAGAAAGTTGAGATCAAATTTTCCTTCAGTCCTCACATTTCTAGTATTGCAGAGTGAGACACATAAAATTAGTCACAGCTAGAACTCTTATATTTGTTTGTAGTTCCTTGGGAACTTTGCCAGCCCCACTATTTCTTTTCTTTTTCTTCCTTTTTTAAAATGCCTAACTGCATTTCTAAATATTCATCTGAAGATGTATACTCCTGCAATGCTAGAAATTTAGGGACTAGAGGAAAATTTCATGGGAAGTGGGAAGTATTCTTACTAGGGAGGCAATGCCATCATATTGTTCCCTTCAACAAGCTATACCCCCTGAAAAGCACAAATACAGACATTTTGATGATAACAAATTTAGTGCCTAATTTCCATGTATGACCAAAATCCCACTTGCAAAATGTAGTAGTTACTGCATTAAACAAATGTTTGTGCTTTGATTTTCTTTAGTTCAGAAATGGAAGGTTATTTTGCCTAGACACCACGAGTCTTCAACATAAGAGGCAAAAATAGATTGAGTTGTTCCATTGCATCTCCTACAAATAAGCTGACTGCTAGCAGCATCTAGGCTACAACAGTGGGAGTGACAGAATGGAGAATTGCCAGATCAATATCACCTCCTTCTGCTACCTATTCTCCTAAAACTATTTCTATCCAAACTGGTTGAACTCTGCAAGAACTTCCTGTCTCAGTATGCAGTTTTTATCTTCCATCATCCCCCTCCTTCTTTTTGTTACATCTTTTTAGATTATCAAGCTGATTATGAGGGGACTTTTTAAAAAATTGATTACCAAGTAAATTTAAAGCTGATAAAAATATTTTAAATAAGTAATTCCTTTCAGGTGAAAATATGGCGTTAAAAATAGTATGTGCTTATATCCCTATGTCTGGCCACTACTGCTATCTCATCTACAATGAAACAGAAAATATATAGGAAAAATGTACATTTTTAATTATAGACAAATGCTTTTAAATGCTCTTCTATGAAATGGAAAGAAAATCTAAGGCAGGTGCAGATTCCTGAAACCACATCAGTTTTGAAACTGATGACATTTCACATTGAAATAATCTTTCAATTATCTCACTGTGTATGCACCTGGCCAAATGAGTATACAGATAAACTGTCTTGCTGCCATTGGATAGGAGTACCTACAAACAGTAAGACCTGTTCCAGTGAGGCAATCTGTAGTGAAGTACACTGATAGCTTCTTGGCGTTTTTGTTTTATTTTAGATGTATAACCTGTTAGTGATGAACCTTTTTTCACTCATTGTTCACATTCAACATTTATTTGTTGAGTAGATATAAATACATAATTTCAATAGGTACTTTCAAAAATAACACACAAGGAAGCAAGAGATGATCAGACAATACAGATGAAAATTACAGCAAATAGCACTTAATGGAAAGTTAAAAAGATATTCCTTGACAATATCCAGATTTGGAACTTGATTAGGGAATAGTTGAGTCAATTAACTATTTGTCAAACTCTTTTTTTCTTTTTCCTCAAGCCAGCCATGTTGCTTTCTGAGCAAGGAATCAAAGCAGCTGTCTTAGGAAGAAGATCCTAATAATTTCAGTGGGATTCATTTTTCTGCCCAGAAACAATTCCTTCAAGACAAGATTATTTCTATTTAGCATTTTTTAAACAGCAATGTTTACATAACAGAAAAATCCCACCTGTTCTTTTTCATTGCTTTCTCCCCTCTGCATTAGAGCATGAACATATTCTGTCCTGCTTTCACTCACCAGTCATACTACAGATTGTCTTTGGAAAAATTCTTTTGTGCCAAAAAAAAAAAAAAAAAAAGCCCACATCATTTTTCTGCATATGCAAAACCTCACATTGAACAAAACACACAATTTCCATTTCTGAGGAAGGAATCAAAGCAGCTGTCTTAGGAAGAAAGTCCTAATGATCTTCCAGTGATTCTGAGGAAGGAATGAAAGCAGCTGTCTTAGGAAGAAGATCCTCGTGATTTCAGTGGGATTCATTTTTCTTCCCAGAAACAACTCTTTCAAGAAAAGATTATAAAACAAGATTATATTCAAAACCTCACATTGAACAAAACACAGTTTCCTGTGCAGAAAAAA